TTTTTAAGACCAGACAGGAGGCAAGAACTAAAATGATCTCTGGCCTGAATTCCCTGTGGCGTGTTGTAATCTCAATGTGGATCCTGTTCAGGAACTGCCTGGGGGCCAATGGGGAGGGCAGGGTTTGTGCGGTGGACTTCATCTGCATGACTCTGAGCCACACCCCAAATGCGATAGCATTCTTCAGGAAGGAGGGTGTTGGCCAGGAGCATATAGATGTCATGATGTGTGAGACTGTATGCCTGAAGGACCCATTGGAATTCTTTAATGTAAGTAGAGGGGTCGGTGGTGAAAGACCCCAATCTCCTTTCTAGCTGGGCGAGATCGGCTAATGAAAAGGGAACGTGTACCCTTACGACCCCCTCAGCACCAGCTACTTCGCGGAGAGGAGCCATGGTAGAGGAAGGGAGAAGTCCCCGGGAACGAGTCACAGGGGGACTAAAAGAGGGTGCCAGGGAAGGTGAAATAGGAGTCGGCAGGGAACAAGATGGCGGTAAGGTGGGGCTAGAAAATGGCTGGACAAAAGATGGCGACAGAGGAAAAGATGGCGGCGGAGCTGCCTGTGGGGGTTGGGGGACAGGAAATGGTGGCGAAGCGGGTCTGGAAGAAACAGAGGAGGAAGAGGCAGGAGGGAGAACAGGCTGACTATGAGGCCCCTCATCCCACAGCGACTGCCCCGGAGACCAGGGCTGTTTACCGGCCGGCTGGGCGCAGGAGACGGATGGAGCGGAGTTAACTGAGGGGGTTGGGGAGCAGAGTGGGTCGGCTATCTACGATAGTAGTTACCCTGGGCTCGCTTTTTGTGATGGTCATGGTCGGGAAGGAGCCAGGGCCCCATCAGTCTTCTTCGTCTTCAGCCAGTCCCACCAGAGGTGCTTGAGGCACCTGGGACGGCTGGGGCTTGCTAGGCCAATCTCCCCTTCGGGTGAGTGGACAGTCGGAGCCCCAATGCCCCATTTCTTCGCACCTAGGACATGGCTTGGTGGGCTCTCTGGGTGATGGGCAACTCCTTGACCAATGACCT